TAAATGTATAAAATAATTATTTGGTAATTGAACGTTTTTCTCTGTGTGGTTTTCACGTAGTAAAAGAGTGAACTGTTAGTTAGTTAGCTAGTTAGTTAGTTAGTTAAACGAAGAAAATTCTTATGTACTACTATTTCATTGACCTTCGTAAGGAGAAACAACAAAACGGAAGAAAGAAATGGACATAAGCCTTCAAATTTTCTCTCCGTTGATATTAACCCTGTGTAAACATAGAAGCAATGCATCCTTGTTTAATCATTACTAGTCATAAGTATAAGGCAGAGATCGTTTCTAGTATGCTAGGGTATATTAAGGCGCAGCAAGTCTGTGGTGTGATTGCAGACAGCAATTTATGTCAGTGTTAACGTCCCGAATCAGGGTCGTGAGAAAGACTACAACTAAGCATAACCTTGAGAAAAATCACCAGCCAATCACAGAGGAGTTAATGTGTGCAAATATGATTCGCAGATATATGGCTTCATTTTCTGATAAACGGCCCACAAACAGATTACAGAATATAACCTTCAGCAAGAAAACAACCAATCAGAAGTGGTTGCTTCTCCGCTAACAATTACGCTAATAATAATACACATAAAAATCTATTAATACCTCTTGATTTTCTCAATACACGAGCTGTTGCCTAGCCTTTGTTTTCTGTTGTTACAAGTCAGCGGAAACGTGAAGACAGTCAGATCACCACTTTCTTTCAGTTATCAAGTGTCGGTTCACAGGGATCCAATGGATAGCTGTTTGGTCACCCACGTTTGGGACTCTCCACAGCACACACCCACTGGGACCATTCGAGTGCGTACTACGGAAGAGTGTCAAACTAGAATGGAGGAAACAGCCGTCCAGTATTCCCTGTTGGCTTTCCAATAGTTCTATAAATGGTGGTTAACTCGTGAACAAGCCTGTAACCAGTTAATCCCTGTGAACCGACACTTGATAACTGAAAGAAAGTGGTGATCTGACTGTCTTCACGTTTCCGCTGACTTGTAACAACAGAAAACAAAGGCTAGGCAACAGCTCGTGTATTGAGAAAATCAAGAGGTATTAATAGATTTTTATGTGTATTATTATTAGCGTAATTGTTAGCGGAGAAGCAACCACTTCTGATTGGTTGTTTTCTTGCTGAAGGTTATATTCTGTAATCTGTTTGTGGGCCGTTTATCAGAAAATGAAGCCATATATCTGCGAATCATATTTGCACACATTAACTCCTCTGTGATTGGCTGGTGATTTTTCTCAAGGTTATGCTTAGTTGTAGTCTTTCTCACGACCCTGATTCGGGACGTTAACACTGACATAAATTGCTGTCTGCAATCACACCACAGACTTGCTGCGCCTTAATATACCCTAGCATACTAGAAACGATCTCTGCCTTATACTTATGACTAGTAATGATTAAACAAGGATGCATTGCTTCTATGTTTACACAGGGTTAATATCAACGGAGAGAAAATTTGAAGGCTTATGTCCATTTCTTTCTTCCGTTTTGTTGTTTCTCCTTACGAAGGTCAATGAAATAGTAGTACATAAGAATTTTCTTCGTTTAACTAACTAACTAACTAATAGTTCACTCTTTTACTACGTGAAAATTTACACTTAAATGGCTAATTATGCGTGTGTTATCTATTGGTTAACGTGTTTATCTGTCAGTTTTGAGTTGAAGTAAATCACGCATTATTATTATTATTGCTACTTTTCATACTCTACTCATTAGATAATAAGTTGACTAGAATTAGAGTACAGTAAATTCCATTGGTGTTTATTGTTGTCTTTCTTGTAATAGTGCTGTTTTATATTTTGCATAAAACCTTATCAATGCTAACACTGATTATATTACACTATATAACGTCGTCGTTATACAGTAATAAATAGTATAATATAGCATATATATATATATATATAGTATGGATTGTATTTAAGGTTGTGTAGGTCTCCGCTGCTCATTTATTATAACTGGAGAGTAGTAAGATATTTATTTATACAGAAATGTAGAGTATTAAAAAAGAAAGAGGTAATGTAGGTAGGCGGGTGGGCGGACGAGCCAGCGAGCACCCGGACGTCGATGACATCTTGTGAGAACACAATAATAATAATTTGCTTTATTCCAAAACAGTACATGTGATACAGAATGGAATTCTCGGCATTTTTACTACAGTATTGCATCCAGTTAGTACATTATCAATAAATAAAATTCTACATAGATTAAGGAAATCTCAGTTCATTATGACAACAACATATTGGCATGTCGGTAGCGAAGCCAAAGCTGAACAGTGATTGAAGGTGTTAGAAAAGTAGGTGCTGTCATATTTACTGGCGGAAGCGGAAGAAAGAAACAAAGCAGCACAAAATGGAAAAAAAGAGAAGAAAAGAGAGAGTGAGAAAAGGAAAAGAAAGAAAGAAAATGTTGTACCTAATGATGATGTGAGTTGGAAAGACAAGATCCACTTGTACTACTGACTATTTAATGAATTATAGGTGTCACGCCTAATGCCTTCTTTATCACACAGAACACGAGCTAAGTAGGGTATGGTTGAGTTTTTGTCCTTGCCAGTGCGAGTATATAGTTTTCTATATAGGCTTCTGGTTTTGCCTGATGAGATGCAAGAGGAGAGTTGTGAATGAAGAGTGTGGTGTGAGTTAGACAGAATGGATTTGGCCCATTTTTCACATGAGTCCATGTGCCTGTCAACCAGAATATTAACAAACTGGTTGAGTGGCACGTTTCTTACCCTGCTGACAACTTTTAACATCCTGCGTAATAAGGTATAGTCTTTCTTCAGTAGCCCGGGAAAAACTAAGTGGGAACAATAGAGAATAATAGGCAGAATGCGAGAGTTAACGAATTGTAGGAGTAAGGGTTGGGTTATACCAGAATGTTTTAATTTCTTGATGTAGAAGGTAAGACGGAATATTTTCTTAGAAATCGCCAAGATATGAGACGACCAGGAAAGATCAGCAGATAGAATGACGCCTAGGTATTTAATTTAACATACACACACAGGAAAAACCTATTCTATTATTCTGCTAGTGACCTGATTCTCTACACTTTCAAAATCTACACAACAAATAATCAGATGATACAATAAAACTATCTATCATGAAAGAATTCACAAAAAGAAAAGAGAAAAGAAGGAATTTAAGCAATAAAAGACTACCGCTTCGTTTCATTCTGTTGTCTTCAGCCTATTTTGTTTTTTTTTTACTGGTTCCACATCACTCTTGAAGACTTAACGTTTTTGTTTGTCATTCAAGTCTCATTTTGAGTGGGTTAGCAACGAGTTGTTTATTGCATAATCAACAAATTCGTAAAATAATGATGACTGATGGAGGATAGAATGACTAAGTGCGTCGGTGACACAGTGGTTAGGACTCTCGCCGACCAAGCACATGGTCCGGGTTTCTATCCCCTGCCGACGCACACCTGATAACTATGGTCGGCCTGCAAAATTTGGGCTACCGATATCACATGCGGAAATTCCATACCTGTACCACAAGATACAGTGTGGAATCAAGCTGTAATCAAAAAAAAGTAGAATCGCACAAGAATACCAATTTATAAACAAGTTAACTGTGTGAATCAGCTAGAGTTATAAGCAAAAATAAAGTAAAGATGTCGAAAGATATCTGCAAGAGAAAGAGAAGGGAAAAATCGTTTGTACAACTTAATACATATTATCTAGAGTAGTTAGCAAAGGCGGGGAAAGGGGCTGTACAAATATTCTTTTGAACACACAGATTTGATTACCGGGTTTCATTATGAGCTGACATCAGTTAGAGAACCATTGGAAAACCAACTGGGATTACTGGACAGCTGTCTCGTCCTACTAGTTTGGAACCAATCCTAAGCACACTGTCTGCCTGTCTTGATTCAACATAGAACTTGGCATCGAAGTGCAGCAGTTCGAGTTGCCACGTTCCAAATAGCACACAAAGGTAGACAAGGAGATGAGTGAAGAGAATCAATAGAGTTTTGACAAGTATAAGAGTGAAACAGAATGAGTAATGGTAGAGAGGAATATGAAAGATTACAGAGACTGAATACATCTGCGTAAGCCATTGACAACGATTTTGAGCCATGTCACCTATTGTCTCCAGCCATTGATTCTTAGAGTCCCGAGGGCGGGCCTCAACCCGGAAGTCTGCATCTTCCTCCCTACCTGACTCAGTTTAACTGTCAGGGATTTCATGGATTGATTGATGCCATGTTTTTGTTTGGTCACCACTTACTCTTTTCCAGCCTGCACCTATATCAGCTAGTAATGCCCGTTGGGGGAGGCGATGGTTAGGCATGCGCAGCATGTGACCTAGTCATCTCAATCTATGTAACTTTATAGCCTCGTCGATTGATTTTTCTTCTTTGCCCAACACTCTACGCCTAACATCAACATTACTTACCTTATTATACCACCTAACATGAGGAAAGAGATCGTAAACATCTGTGGTCAAAAACAGTCAACCTTTTCATGTCTTTAACTCGTATTGGCCATGTTTCAGAGCCATGTAGGAGAAGGACGGAGCGAACTGCTGAGCAGTATACACGTCCCTTGGTTGATAGCCGGATGTCACGCCTACGCCAGATATAGTGTAAGTTAGTGAAAGCAGCCCGAGTTTTTTGGATCCGTGCTGAGATTTCGTCACCAATCAGTCCATTGGTGCTGATACAACTTCCCAGATAGGTGAAGTGGTCATCACTGTCATAAGCACGCACCTGCCAGGTGTAACAAAACAGCTGTCCAGTGTACCCCCAGGTGGTTTTCCAATGGTTCTCTCACTGATGTCAGCTCATGATGAAATAATCCTCCAGCCAATCAAAATACCTACAAAAACCAATACTTGAAAAGCAAAATAACTTGTCCTCTCTTGACGCTCATGCAAAAGGATATAATATATGCATGAGTAGTATGTTTTAGCCTATTTTTTGTGGATTTTACTCATCACTGATCCTGTTTTTTTCTCTCTCTCATATATATATATATATATCTTCTTTTCAGATGCCTGAACTATCAGCTAATCAATTGAAAGGTGATCGACGATGTCATCAACCGAGTGTTTTATTGTTATGGCAAAATCTTGGCATCCTATTAGGCTTTTGTATTATGCTATTAATAGCATTTTATGAAGATAAATTGGTATCGCATTAAAGCTAATATACAACACACACTCACATATATATACATATATAAATATGTACTCTATTTGCACATACCAATAAAACCCATCCGTTTATTTCCGTCCCCCCCCGTCCTCTTTCTGTCTCTCTGTCTACTCTCTCTTCCCCTATCTTCCTCTTTGTGTCTAGTGTATCATTGTCTAATGAAAGAATGTGTGAAGTGTTCTCATTTTGTCTTCCATTTACTTCATTTTTTACCCTTTCTGTGTTCTGTTCTGTTGTATTCTGTTTAGTGTTGTTGTTTTTGTTGTTCCCTTGATTTGATTTGGCTATTCTTCAACTAAATTTCTACGCTGATATCCTACTTTAATATAGAATGATAAACAGCAGAATAAGGGGAGGAGTGATATTCATGTTGTTTGTTTTATCGAACTACCATTATTATTATTTCTTTGCATAGTGTTCGTTTTTCTCAACTGTTCGTTTTAAAAAACGCTTCTTCTTCGTCTTCTTGTTTCTTCCGGTATTTTGTTGTTGAGATTCGAACGCTCATTCACGCACACACAATTTTTTTGTCACAATTTTTTAAATGGGATTTCGTCCATATTTGTCTGTTTTTGTTGCCTGACAGCCTTGGTTAGTTGGTCGATTAGTCAGTCGGTTGGTCAGTGTGTTGGTTATTCGTCACCGGTGTAGTATGAGTTTTCTTAAACTTTGGTGTTTTGCATGCTTTTCCGGTTCTTTTTCCATTATTATTATTACTATTGTTATTATTACTGTTATTCGCTATTGTCTGTGAATATATATGTCTATAGACACACACAAACACATACAAACAAAGAATGATTTATTGTCAATATGAGCAGTAATCTAAGTAATCTATATCTCTGTTACATAATACTCTTCCTTCTATGTGTGTGTATAATTATTGCCCGCTACTACTATCAAAGCCTGTTGACAAGTTAATACATACTTGCTATGCCAGGTAGTAGCAGTAGTAGTAGTTCTTCTTTTCTGTTAAATTCCCTCTTTGATCTGTTCTCACCTTAGCCGCCTTAACTTCAAATTGTGCATATATATATATATGTACTTGTGTATGTATGTGTTCTGTGTTACCACTTTGTGTCGTTGATTTTTTGCTTAACTCTTTGTGTGCGTGCGTGCGTGTTTACGTGTGTGTGTGTGCCTGTCGGTGTTGATGATGCTGATGATATCCTATCCCGATGTCGACTGTTCCCTATGTGTCTTACTGTTTCCTTTTGTAGGCATGTGTGTTCGTGCGTGCGTGTGCGTGTATGTATTTGTAAATTACCTCCCTGTTTCTCCTCCAAACCCCCCCCCTCTGCACCCCACCCCACCCTTGTTATCATTTTCTTTGTGAGTATCAGTTATATATATAGAATACACTTATTTGTGGTGGTATAATTAATTTATAGAAAGTAACTGTTACTGTTTGTTGAGATTACTGTTCTCCCCCTCTCTCTCTCTCTACCTACCTACCTACCTGTAGTCTGTTTTGTACTTCTTCTTCTTCCGATTATCATACATGCACACACACAATGACTCACTCGTACTCACAGGTATTCGTAATTAAAGAAGAACCGTTTGAATGCGAAGATAACGAACGCTAAAGCTAACCAAAAACAAACCAACAAACAAACATATTATCACATATCTTAGATTATTATTATTATTGTTACTATTATTATTATTATTACTATTATGATTATTTACTTTATCATCACCAAATAAAAATGAATAAGACTGATGCTTCTTGTTCTGATAGTTGATTCCTTTTTTTTAGAGTTGTGCAGCTTTCCATTATCCGTCTTTACAAATATCTTCAATGTTATTATTATTATTATTGTATTATTATTTCCTTTAATTCTAAGAGGAACATAGGGCTTCAGCCGTGCGCGTCTCCATTGCGTTCGGTTCTCTGCTAGAGTTTTCACCTGGCTCCAAGTCTGCCCACACACTTTCATATCCTCTTCACATGACCTCCTCCAAGTCACCCTTGCACTGACGACCAACTCGCCTCTTCCTTTTCGGGATCCACTCGAGTGATGGCCTGTCATGTGATTTCACTTGATGGTTTCCTCAGAGTATGGCCAATCCATCTCCATTTCTTCCTGCCTATTTTTTGCAAAATCGGTTCCTGGTTGATTCGCTCCCAGAGATCTCTGTTGCTGATCTTTTCTGGCCGGCCATCTGATCTAGAATTGCATTGAGCGAAGAGAGCTCTTAATGAAGGTCTGTAGTTTGTTTGAGATGCTCTTTATGACGCACTGGCCAAGTCTCTGATCCGTATAGTGGCACTGACTGACTTCACATTGGAGTTGAAAATCCGGATCTTATTTTTGATGTTGAGTGTTGTTGACCTCCAAACAGACTTGAGAGTAGTGAAAGCTTGTCTTGCTTTTCCGATTGTTGCTTTGTTATCCTCATCAGTTCCGTCCGCCTGTAGTTGAAACGATGCTTCCCAGGTAGGTAGGTAAAGGAGGTTGTTTCTTTCAGGTTCCTCCCATTTATGCTGGCTGATTGTTGTTGTTGCTGTGGCTATTGCCGTTGGCCAGGAATCTTCATCACCTAACTCTGTTTTCCCTATGTTCACCTGAAGTCCTTCCTATCTTTGATGCTTCTTCCATCAACTTGTTACTTTTCACTTGCATATCTTCCAGTTTGTGGGAAATCAGACATATGTCATCATCGGCGAAGTCCAGATACTTCAAGTTTTTTGTGTGAGTCCATTTTATGCCTGTTTCCCCATTGCCCGCTGTTTGTCGCATTATCCAGTCTACTGCAATCAGGAAAATCATTGGCGATAGTAGGCAGCCAGCTTGTCTTACTCCTGTCCTCACTTCGAAGGATTCCGTAAGTTTCCCGTTTTGGATTACTTGGCATGCAATCTTCAATGTCAACTCTTGTGTATTTTGAAAGCCGACTAGTGAGTTTGTTTCCTCTTGTCTCTCTGCTACTGTTGTTGTTGTTGTCTTTATTGATTCAACCAACCAATTCAACCCCCTTCGATTCCGAGTGGTACATGGGTCTTCACCAACAGCTGCAGCAACACACCACCATAGTTACCCACCCACCCGCTTAAGCTTTCATTTCCCATGGTCACACTGAAAGTTGTCGTTTCCTGTTGGCTTCCAGTGTTTAGGGCTTGATGTGTGTGTGTGTGATTTCAGTGAACGATCTTCTCAGTGTGTGTGTATATCCAATTCATGTGCATTGCTTCCCTTCTGTGAATTTATTTGTTGTGATAGAAATTCTGCGATAGTTGTCTTTGAAAATCATCTTGGTAATTGGTCCCATCAAGGCTTTGAACCGCTCGTTTGATATTAGCGTTAAAAAAATGTGAATCCTTTTATAACATCATACCGAGTGCAGTAGAATTGATTTATTAAGTATTGAGGGTTTGTTTTGCTTTCACATCCTTATCTGTGCCGCTTGTTGTTGAAACAATTCTCAATCTGGGTCAGATAAGCGAAAGAGATGACTTATTTTCAATTTCTTCCGTCGATGATGATTGATGCTTGTTGTTCGTTAGATACCTCATCTTCATTATGTCTGTACGAAGTGTTAATCATTATTAAACTTTGAAACAATATAGTCCCTTTGCAAAAAAATTTTAAGTGGCATGGAAATGAAATACCAAACTAGACTAGATTAGAAATAGGAAGTGAAGTGGTAGAGCACGTGGACCGCTTCACTTACTTAGGAAGTACCATCAGCCAGTGCCAACGGGTTGATCTCCGACGAAATCTCAGCACGGATACAGAGGGCTAGTTTCGCATATTTCAGTTTACGCCGTCTCTGGCGTAGACGCGATATCCGACTATCGACCAAAGGGCGTGTGTACTGCTCATCAGTCCGCTCCGCCCTCATGGCTGTGAGACTTGGCCATTGAGAGTGGAAGACATGAAAAGATTAGCTGTCTTTGATCATAAGTGTCTGCGTTCTATCTCCCGTGTGAAGTGGTATAATAAGGTGAGCAATATTGAGGTTAGGCGTCGAGTGCTTGGTAACGAGGGGAAATCAATAGATGAGACTGTGAAATTACATCGACTGAGATGGTTAGGACATGTGTTATGCATGCCTTGTCATCGCCTTCCTCGACGGGCAATGTTAGCTGATATAGGGCCAGGCTGGAAAAGAGCTAGCGCCGGTCAAACCAAAACATGGCGCCAGTCAATGAAATCCACAACAGTTAGTCTAAGCCACGTAGGAAGGTGTAGACTTCTGTCTTGTTGGGGTCCTCGGGACGGTAAAAACCAATGGTTGGAAACAATTGGTGATATGGCTCAAAATCGTTTTGAATGGCTGGTGCAGATGCATCCACTCCTTGTGACTCATGATTTCCAATGAAACTATATTGTTTTTCGTTATTACTATTCCTTTGTCTCACACCTCTGTTTACTCTCTCTAATATGCATTTCTTCTACTTTCTTCTCTTGCTTTGTGTGCTACAAGTAGGGAGTGTGGCGACTTGAACTGCCGCACATCAGTGCAAAGTTCTATGTCGAAAACAGACAGACATACATTCGAATTCTAGAATTAGATTATTTTACTGCTTTTTGGGTGAGTCATATACAGTGTACTCCTCTGCCGTTGTTTTTAGCTTACCTAACGACTGTGGAACGATTCTTAGTGTTTTTAGTTGTTCGTATTAGGTGGTGGTGTAATATTCTAACTGGGCTCAGTGTTAACGAATCAAGATAATTGAAGCATTCTGTACTTTTGTAAGCTTCTGTACAATGAAGAATTTGTCATTCGATTGATATATATATGAAATTATTAGGCAACTATAAAATACTGGAAAGCGTCTCGGAGTAGTTGTTTGAACACTACTACTTTTAGTAGTTAGGACTGCATATTTAGTTGGACTTGCAGGGATTTGATTGGTTACACGGTTGATCACGAGATGACATCAGTCAGAAAGCCATTGGAATATCACCTGGGGGAGTACTGCACTACCATTTCGTCCTAGTATGGGACTCTTCATCAGTACGCACCAACCGGAGTTCGGACACAGGAGCTTCCGGTTACGAGATGAGGACAGTTACTCGCCCGTGACATTGGCTGGTGGTTACGCTAAATATATACCACCGATCGGTGGAAGTTGGAATTCATGGACCCTTGGGACTCAGTAGCTTAATAGTCTACGAGCTCACCTCGTAACTGAAGGGTCCTGGGTTCGAACCCCAGTGGGTGCTTACCGCTGAAGAGTCCCAAACTAGGTTCAGCTTATGACCCATCTTGTAACATATATCATAGTTACATTTTTTTTAAATCTTAGCGAAATTGAAATAAATGACTCCAACGTTTCTTCGGGTGCAGTGATCCGAACTTCAGGGAAATCAATCAAAACTAAAATAACCAAAGCATTGTAATTCCAGTCGTCAAGCGACGATCTGAGACAGAGAGCAAGGCGCACGTTAGCAGGGTGATCACTTTAGTACTGTGCGCTAGTGAGAGCGAAGACTCAAGGTCAAGGTCTGTTTCTACAACCAATCATAATACAATTATGTGAGAGGAGAGTGCTTTTCCTATTGGTCATCAGCTGCATCATCTTAGGCGACCAATCTCTTCACGCTATGTAGCCAACCTGAAATACGACCAACATAGTTCAAACGTTGGAAAACCGTTGAACTTACCATGCCTAATAATATGTATACATATAAAAGGACATATCTTGTCGCTAAAATCCTTGTGCAGTCATATAAGTCACGAGTAGATATGAAAACAAAATTGCATGAACTGTGATTAAAATTTGACCACAAGCTTATAAGTATTATTTGAAACAATTAGCTCTCTTTGTGAATTTAGACAGGAATAAGAAGGCTTAATTTTGTTTGAATCGTGTATTGTATTTGCGCAACACATTACGAACAATCTGCTCACATACGGACTCACCATAGGAATATGTATATACATATACTTATATAAGGGGTGAGAAAACAGATAAGGTTCAATTTGTAGGACTTACTGAAGGTCAAAATAACAATGAAGATCACTAAACCAAATGAGAGGGGTAATAGTGCGGTGAGATCTGTCTGCAAACCAAAACTGTAGACAACAATTTAAGTCAATGTTGACGTCCCGAATTGGGGTCTTGAGGAAAAAGCAGTAACAAGACTTAACCTTGAGGAACTCACCAACCAATCACAGCAGACTTAACGTTTGCAAGTACGATTCTCAAATACATGGCTTAACTTTCCAGGAAATGGTGACAAGTAGTACAGAATAACCTTCAGCAAGAAATTAACCAACCAGAAGACTTTGTTTGTCCGCTAACAATAATGCACATAAAAATCTTTAAATTACTTTTGACTTTCTCAGTAAACGATCTGTTGTCTGGCCCTTGTCTTCTGTCGTTACAATAGTAGATCTACCCAGGGTATCAAAACAAAGTTTACCAAGGAAGATTTAGTGTAATGACGAATTATTGTTGATGAACTCATAAAAGTGGTTTAGACTTCCTAGTTGCCAGCTAGGGCTTCCACAATCTTTCGGGTACTCCTCAAATACGTTTTATAGATAGGTTTATAGGACCTGTGAGCATCAATTTTAGTTCCTGTCTCGATAATGTGTTTTGCAATAGAAGAGCTAAGTCGTGTATTCTCACCACTAATGGGTTCTGGGGCTTCAATTTGCTTCTGAAGCCCTTACTTGAGGAGGTCTATGAGTCCTCCCTAGATAAATGTTTCGACAAATACATTTAAATTGGCAAATACAGTGGGATGTGACATAATTTTTCTCATATTCTAACGGCTTAGATGGATTTATTGGCTCCACA